TTTTCTCTTGAATTATGATAGCCCTGCGCGGCTAATTTATCTTTGTCTTGGTTGAAGACGATTGAAACCCCAGACCTACTATTGTGAGATCGAATTAGTTTTTATTACAATTCATATATTTTCGCATCAATGTTTCGTGTGCATATGTTTATGATTGTTATGCTTAGGTGATAGATTGAACACCTATTATTCTATGCTTATGATCTATTGCTTGATTGATACTTGATTCGGATTTAGATCATGTGTCTTTCGCTAGAAGCAACTAAGATAGATAATTGACCGGATTTAGGCTTTGTCGTTCTTAGGCGAAACAATTGAACAAGTTGATATTTGACGAATTAGTTATTTATTGCTTGGATTGTCGGTCTCTTGTATTTAATGCTATTGCTAGAATAATTCTTCACGATGTTGGGAGTTAACTAGTTATAAGAGTCTCGTAGAAGGATTTATTTTGCTTGACTAATTTAGGAGATAGAATTTCTATTCAACGACAGTTGCGTAGATTGTGAATTTATATTTTTGCATCAATGATCAGTGGGACAGTCTAGGGTGGAAATCAATTCAACCAAGACAGATTCATATTATATTTATTTTTGTTTATTTATTTTTATTTTATTTTTATTTTTATTTATTGTTTGATAGGTATTTCTAGTTTAGTTAGATCACCAATTCAAATTTCCCCCCTCTTTGATCACATAGTTGATAGATTTACTTCTCCCCGTGGATACGATCCTTGCTCACGCTACTACATATTTTTAAGCAAGGTTAATTTGGGGTGCCTACGACAGCACGGCCAAATTTTTGTTTGATAAGTCAAAAATATGTGTCGATTTAGAGAATTAATTTATGATTTATATTAGATATTTGAGTTCAATTGACATATGTTTGACATTATCTCGTATTTTCGAGTGGAAACTACCGGTGTTTGAATTTCTGTGCAGATCTAAGGCTCTTTAGCTTGTCGAATGGAAGATTCAACCTTGGAGCAATTGAGAGTTGGTTGTGCTTAAGAAAAGGAAACGTTTATGACTAACATGGCAGTGTCGATATTACAGTTCAAATGTAACATGGCCATGTTGGTATAATTCTGGAACAGATTTCTCAACTGGGCCTAATTTAACTATTAAGCCCAAAATCGATTCATAACCTATTATAACAGCAGCCGCAAGGAAGGAACATCAGGGGGGATCTGTTGGGAGGAGACACACAAGAACATAGCACAACATCAGGGGCTGCTCTCCTTCATTCAATTTTCTTCAGTATTTTTTCTTTTATTTTCTCTTGAATTATGATAGCCCTGCGCGGCTAATTTATCTTTGTCTTGGTTGAAGACGATTGAAACCCCAAACCTACTATTGTGAGATCGAATTAGTTTTTATTCCAATTCATATATTTTCGCATCAATGTTTCGTGTGCATATGTTTATGATTGTTATGCTTAGGTGATAGATTGGCCACCTATTATTCTATGCTTATGATCTATTGCTTGATTGATACTTGATTCGAATTTAGATCATGTGTTTTTCGCTAGAAGCAACTAAGATAGATAATTGACCGGATTTAGGCTTTGTCGTTCTTAGGCGAAACAATTGATCAAGTTGATATTTGACGGATTAGTTATTTATTTTGCATGTAGATAAGTGGGTCGTCATCGGGCGTACCGAAGATCACTATATCAGTTACTTGCGAAACAAGAATTGTTGGTTCACAACCTAGATGGAATTGAACAACCCATCAGAACGGTTGTAGTGTCAACCGTACGGTTTGTCTTGACCGATTAGTTGCACTAGTACATTTATGTATTGAACAGGATCCCAGAGAGGGATGTTCGTTTTATACTAATCGTCGTAAACGAACTAGGCCTCAGTTAATTATTGCGTGCTCTTAACCCGTAAGATATTAAATAAGCATGTGCACATAATTGTTGTTGCTTTGATTCTTTGGGTGAGATCCAAGCCGGATCGACATACTTAATGAATTGGGTAATAACATTGTGTGTTCGATGTGCTATTAGGATATTTATGGTCACCATGTGCGTTAGTATGATGATGTCCCCGAAGTGAGTTCATGAAGGAATATTATGCTAAACCCTGCAGGTGGATTTATTCCGGCATAATATGAATGCTATGAGCGAGCGCTAGCTTCGGTAATATAATATATTAATTAATTCTTGATTATTAGTGATCGAATTAATTAATGGACATTATATCTTAAACATAGGGAGGTAAATCGGATAATTATAATAAGGAGTCTCAAATGTAATTTGGGATAGGTGAGGGGAGTGCAATAATATTATTGTGGTGGACTTTAATATTATTAATATATTAATTGTGGGGTTGCTCCACAGTATTAATATATTAGAAGCCCTTATCCTATTCTCCTTAGGGTCCCTACTGTAGCTCTATATATACAGCATTAGGCTCTTGGAAGAGCAGAACAATCCCATAATCCTTGGGAAACGTCCAGCCCCCCCTCTCTCTCTCTCTCCAAGGAGTTCTTCTATTTCTTGTGTTCCACTGATACAAGATCTAGAAAGCTGTTTGAGAATACAGTAGAAGATCTTAAGGTATATAGAGATTCCAATCATACATCGAAACCGGAGACCAAAACCAGCAAGTGACCATACCACGACGACCAGGACGACGAGACGAAGAGATCGCCGCCGTACGCCGCCGCACGCGCCGCCACGCGCCGCCGGAAGTTTCCAGCTGCCGAGGATAACGCGCGCGCGTGAGAGCGCGTGAACGCTCCGATTCCCGATCGGTCAACGCCGTTGACTTCGCCGTGACGTCAGCTTTCTGGATTGGTCAAGTTTGTTCGATGCCGAGAAGATTTGATTTGCGGTCAACTATCCGGGCCAGCCAGATCTACATAAATTTTAAGCAGTAAGTTTTCTTCATCAAACCTTTAGATCCGCTGCGCATAGGTTTATGTTGAATGTTTGTCCGTGATTTGTGCATATCGAGATCCTCGTGGGTTCAGACACTCGGCGACGTCTTTCTTCATCCCTCGCCACCAGAACGACCCTTTCAGGTCATGATACATCTTCGTGCTCCCGGGATGGGCTAGATAGGGTGCAGTATGAGCCTCTGATAATATCTCCTTCCGCAACGCCTCGATTTTCGGGACCACGATCCTGCCCCTGAACTCCAATGCTCCGTCTGAACCTAACTGAAAACCCTCGACGCCTCCGGCGCGGACTTTGGCCTCCATGACTCGAACAAACTCGTCAGAAGCCTGTTCCCGCCGAATTCTCTCTCTCAGCGTCGGCTGAATCTGCATGGCATTGACACTGGCACCGACACTCCCCGAAATGGCTGTGGGAAGTGCGTCGACCGCCTGAATCTGCATCCGGGCAAACTCCTGAATCAACGGACTCTGCTGAGTAACGACGTACGTCAAGTCACCCCTTACCTTTCAGCTTAGGGCGTCAGCAACGACGTTCGCCTTCCCCAGATGATACTGAATCGAGCAATCGTAATCTTTGACGAGCTCGAGCTAACGGCGCTGTCTCATGTTGAGCTCCTTTTGCGTGAAAATGTACTGCAGGCTCTTATGATCTGTGAAAATCTCGCAACGACCGCCGTAAAGGTAGTGCCGCCAGATCTTGAGTGCATGAACGACTGCGGCTAACTCCAAGTCGTGCGTCGGATAGTTCTGTTCGTGCGGCTTAAGCTGGCGTGAAGCATAAGCACGACTTAGCCGTCCTGCATGAGTACACATCCCAGTCCTTGCTTCGAAGCATCACTGAAAATGGTGAAACTCTGAGAAGGATCGGGAATAGTCAACACTGGGGCTGAAGTTAATCTCCTCTTGAGCTCCTCAATGCTCGCCTCACAACGATCAGTCCACTCGAACTTCACAGACTTCCTCATCAGCTGGGATAGTGGGAGGGCAATTTTTGAAAGCCCTCGATGAACCTGCGATAGTAGCCAGCTAAACCGAGAAACCTGCGAACCTCGGACGGACTCTTCGGTGTCGACCAGTTCAGAACAGTTGAGACTTTAGAAGGATCCACCTCGATACCTGCTTGAGTAATCACATGACCAGAAAAGCTACTCGCTGGAGCTAGAACTCGCATTTGGAGAATTTGGCTTATAACTTTTCTCGTCTGAGGGTTTCGAGAACCACCCTCAGGTGCTCCTCGTGCTCCTTCTTGCTCTTCGAGTAGATAAGAATATCGTCAATAAAGACAATAACGAACTGATCGAGGTAGGGATGGAAAATACGGTTCATCAGTTCCATGAAAACCGCTGGAGGATTACTGAGGCCGAATAGCATAACGACGAACTCGTAATGGTCGTAACAAGTCCTGAAAGCGGTCTTAGTGATATCTGACTCCTTAATCTTCAGCTGTTGGTAGCCTGATAGTAAATCAATCTTTGAGAACACACAGGCTCCCCTCAACTGATCAAATAAGTCGTCGATCTTGGAAAGCAGATACTTGTTCTTGATCGTCAACCGGTTAAGATCCTGGTGTTGGGTTCTGTTAGGAACGTCAAACAACATGCACAGCATTGAACTTTATCGAAATAAATCCTAACGCAGCGGAATCTATAGTTAGGATATGGACGTTTACCTTTTAAAATTTTTGCCGACTCTGAGACGATGTAGAGTACCATTGATGAAGTTCGTCTGAACACCACAACCTAATGGGCGGATAGGTTTGGCCTTTAGTTGATTCTAATCAACACGTCAAACGGATCACGAATGGAGGGTGTGTGGGTCTCAGTCGTCGGGTGCAGTGGCAGGTGCGCGTCGGGCGCGGGGCACAGTCGTGCGTGTCGCTGACAGCAGGTATGCGCGTCGGGCGCTGGTGATACGGAAGTGGAGTTAGGGACCGGCGAGTCTAGTAAGGAGCTAAAATGCGAAAGGTGCGCATCGGCCCTTGATGCGCACAAATGGGCAAAAAAGTCGTGCACGCGGGGTTTGCAAGGAGTACGCAGGCGCATTGTTGGCGGAACGCGCGGCACTGCGGGCGCACGAGGGTGCGCGGTAGACGAGCAGGCCACGGTGATCGGCGTCACGTGCGGAGAAGCGGACGATGGGTACGCGAAGAGCGCTGGGCACGCGATTGGCGAGGATGCGGGCAACGGCCTAGGCCTTGTAGGCCTAGGATTAGCGGGAGCGGACGCGCGAGGAAAAGTCGGCAGGGACGAGGCGCGCAGCAGGCGCGCGAGTATGAGCAACGCGGGCGCACGCCTATGCGCGAGAGGCATAGGCGAGAACGGCACGCACGCGCGCGAGGAGTCCGGGCTCGGGACTGAGCGCACGCATGGGCGCGCGTGCGGGGCAGGCGCGCAAGAGTCCCAGTCCGCGGAGGAGTGCGAGACGCACAAACGCGTGCGACGCGCGAGATGAGGCGGCGGGAATTTGGGGAGGCTGAGAGTTTTGAGCATGTGGAAAATTAAGGAGCATTCTAGAATTGCTTGGTGTGCAAGCCAAGCATTAGTTATTTGGTAGTAATATGATTTTATTGCTTTCTAGTGTTAGGATTTCTATTATTGCAAGATTATGGAGATCTAGTTTATTTAGGCTTAGATTTATTTATGCACCTATAAATACCCCATGTACCTCATCATATTTTACATGTTGAATGTTGAATGAAGTATTGAATTGGTGAGCCAATCTTGAGGGGGAACTGATGTTCTTAACGTGTGTTTAAACAAGGCCGTTAGTGCGTGTTTACATACAGTGTCGGAGAGAAGGCCATTAGAGCGTCTTGAAGTCACGGTATCTAGGAGAAGGCCGTAGTGCGTCTGTTAGATACACCTATCGTGGATAAACGAAGGCCCTGAGTGCGCCGTTTGTTCACAACCCGTATAGATAACAACACGATCCGTCATCATTGGTGCTTTCATTGAGAGGTGCTGATCGTGTCTTTATCTATCCTATCTTTTAGTTTTTTCGGTTTGCCTTTTGCTGAGGGCCCGAATTTCTCTTTATTTTTTGTTGGGGTTCGAATTTTTGGTTCGAATTTTCCCTTTTAATTTTTGAAATTTAGTCTTAAAAAAAAAAGTGTCATCTTGTTAGTCCTT